CTTGGTAAGCCAGAGTGGCGCAAGTGTCGCTGGAGGACACGGCCGTCAGCATCCAACAGGCTGGCCGCACGGCACTGGAGAGTGTGAGTGCCTCCTCGAGCATCACCAGTGCCAGTGCCCCATCGGCTGAGAGCTTCGCTGGACCGGACAGGCGCACGTCCAGAGGTGACGCTTTACGTGCAGATCCGAGACGAGCCTGTAGCCACTCTTCTTCTCGCCTGCGAAGAATTAAAAAATTTGGAGAAGGTTGCTTAGGAGAACCAGGTGAGTCTGGGACATTTTTATAAAGAGGGCTTGCAAGCTGCTCGAAAACCTGTGCTCCATGACGTCCAGCTTCGTACACACTAATGTGACGAGAACAGCTCTCAGTCTATGCTGTGCCATCAAGTGTCGTAAATTCTAACAGGAATTGAAGAAAAATGCTGACTTCAGCCGAGCAGAAAAAACCAGTGTTTCGCCTGATTGGTATAAACGAAAATAAGCCATGTTTCCTCAACGTGGCCCCTAACCGACAGTCTAGAACAGCTAAAAGGACAGACAACCGGCGAAAACGCGTGAATAAATCTTAGTATAAATGAAAATACCATCAATTGTAGTGACAGATGAAAGCTTTCTTTTCACGCTGTGACTACCTTCAAACCGTGCTTAATTAAAACAAATTGTTCTCCGCTAGTCTTCTCAGCCTAGCGGAGAAGCCTTGAAGCTGGACTATGAAATATGGAGTACACCACTCTGCTGTTCGTAGTCGCGTAGTCAGATGCTATCGTGCGCGCCAGCTCTGAAACTTACAGCATGTATATAATTATCCAGCCCCACTCAATTGTGATCTGCTTAGGACGTACAATCAAGCACTGTGAGGCTGTCACCTTACTGGGTCTCTTTCCAGGCCTCGGTGTGCGGAGAGGAAACAAAAGTGCCTCCTCTTCGATGCCTGAATATTGTGTGAGTACTCCATATTCCCTAAAAGATTGCTATTTATGCCAAGTCTTATCACAAAAAAGTAACAGGGCAGAATCGTTTGTAAGCATCATGTTAAATACTGTGTCACAGTGGGCCTTTTGCAACACGCTCAGTTACGATACCCAATTTACAATGGAGTTCGTTCACAAGTTGCTTGTTTTAGAAATATGTTCGTTTTCCTGCGCCACTCGTCATTTTTTATATATAATGTCGCCCTATTGCTGCGCTGTTCGTTCAACTTGATGACAGATGTCGAGTGCGCTCAGATAAAACCAATCGCGACGCGCGGGAAATGCTATAAGGGTCTTTGATAATTTGATAAAATGGGTTTAACGTCCCAAAACCATCATCTGTTCGCAACGTGGAAAGAATAGGACACAAGGCTTCGTTTCAACGAAAGTAGCAAGGCTGTATTCGTAAGCAAGAGCACAATGCAAGAGCAGACGCCCAACGTCGTCCTCCTCAAAAAACACAAAAAAAAAACACTGCCGCTCGTGACGCTTGCTTCTTCCTCCTCTTTTGTGCTGACGGCTAATAATCATGACATTACACTCCCTTCCAAGAAGGTTGATTGATATGTGGGGTTTAACGTCCCAAAACCACGATATAATTATGAGGGACGCCGTAGTGGAGGGCTCCGGAAATCTCGACGACCAGGGGTCCTTTCTTTAACGTGCACCCAAATCTGAGCACACGGGCCTACAAAATTTCCGCCCCCATCGGAAATGCAGCCGCCACAGCCGGGATTTCGTCCCGCGACCTGCGGGTCAGCAGCAGAGTACCTTAGCCACTAGACCACCACGGCGGGGCAAGTCCCACAGCTCATGCGGAAGCGTAGCCGGGTAACAGCACCGGCAGAGGGAGGTTGTGCACATGTCCGGGAATATGAGGAGAAACGCGGGCAGGTGAGGGATGCGTGTTTGTTCGAAGTAGACGCAAAGTGGTGGTCAGTGCCCGTTTGAGCTTAGGGTGAGGTGGACGAAGTGTCTGAAGTATTTCGGAGGGAAAAAGTATTTTTTGGTCACGTGGCTGCCTTCTGAACTTCCCAGATTGTTGTCTGGGTGTTTGTGAATAAAATAATTTTAAAAGTACCGCTCCTTCTCTCTATACCGAATTTGGGCATGCATGTTAAGTAAAGGTGCTTGCGTAAGGTGCTTGAAGCTGAGTAATAATCATGCAATTTTTATGCTACACATACCTCCAAGAATAGGTGACCAGTAAAATAGCAAGTGATTGCGGGATGCACCGTCTGCTACCAGCTTCCGGTTCGAGAAGAGGAGACGATGGCAAACCGCTTCGCCGCAGGCCTCAGATAATTCGGGATTCACGCGTTCGGTCGCCCGTTTATCTTCGTCCTGATAAACCATGGTCAGTTGTTCAGCCGTTGGCTGCTCCAACTCGAGCGTGCAAGGCAAACGCAGGTATCAATTTCCAGGAAATGAAGACAAAAACGAGGTGGGCAGCGACAGTGAAGAGAGCGACAGCGACAGGTAGCCATTGAGTACGGAACTTTGAAGCCAGAGTGTGCGAAAACCATTTTATCACAGGTACGTGTGTATTCCACACTAAGGCCCGTATTCAAGAACGCCCCTTCACTCAACGCTCCACCTTCACTTGATGGATGGATGGATGGATGGATATGGCTGTACCCTTTAGATCGGGAGGTGGCTAGCGCCACCAAGCCGTAATACTTAATGAACTCAAAACTATATTTATTTATTTTTTGCTTAAAAAGTGAGTTTGAGGATTCGTACTTTGCAGTGAAGAGTTTAATTTTCACTCGTGCCTTGACTTTAGCCACCAATCAGATAACCGCCTTCTAGTTAAGTCTACTTTCTTGAAGTCTATTTTGCCCTCCCGGACCCTAAACCCCAGTGCTTTGAAAAACTCTGCGCCATCATCCTGAACTATAGGGTGAAGCCCTTTACAGAACATTATAAAGTGTTCGGCAGTTTCTTCTTCCTCTCCACACGCACTGCATACTGTGTCTACCCCTTCGCATTTGGCCCGATATGTCTTGGTTCGCAGTACTCCCGTCCTTGCCTCAAACAGTAGAGAACTACCCCGAGTATTATCATAGATCCTTTCATTGGCAATTTCCTGCTTAAAAGTTCGATAGATCTCTAGTGCGGACTTCTTAATCATGCCCATTTTCCACATGTCAGTCTCCGTTTCCTTCACTTTCTTCTTAACCGATAGTTTTTTTTGGTTTGGCCACCTGCTGTTTTCTAAGTATTTACCAGTCAACTTCCTGGTTCGCTTCCTCCATTTTGTATCGACATTCTTCATGTACAAGTAGCTGAAAACCTTCCTAGCCCAACGCTCCTCCTTCATTTCTCTCAATCGCTTCTCAAATTTTATCTTGCTGCTAGCTTCCCTGCCCTCAAATGATGTCCATCCCATATCACTTTGTACTCCCTGATTTGGTGTATCCCCGTGAGCTCCTAAAGCAAGCCTACCTATTCCACGTTGCTTAATTTCTAATCTTGCTTGAACTTCTGATCTCATGCACAAGACCGCATTGCCGAACGTCAGCCCAGGAACCATGACCCCTTTCCATATTCTTCTCACAACATCATACCTATTGTAATTCCACAGTGCCCTATTTTTCATCACTGCTGCATTTCTGTTACCTTTAGTCGTCAAGTATATTTCGTGTTCCCTCAGGTACTCGGTCCTATTGCTTATCCATACGCCCAGATATTTGTATTTATCTGTTATCTCTAGCGTGACGACTTGAGAAAGCTAATGAAAGCGCCATCTCTAGGCGGAAAAATTCACTGCATATTAGTATAACTTGCTGCTATTCTTGAGCAGCGCAGGCTCATTTTTACCCAAGCAGCGGCGCAGTGCGCCGCTATGTCAAGTGAAGGGTGAAAGTCGAGTCGAGGAGTGTTTATGAATACGGGGGCAAAAAAGCTTACGCATGAATTTGCTGCGAATATTACATCGAGAAATAAATTGTCGCGCAGGCGCGCCTAGCAAAGATATTATGGGAACGAGGAGGCGAAATCTACCTGCCATACGAGATTAGCGCCGGCAATTGCACCTATATATATGACAAAAAAAAAAAACGCGAAAGATTCACTCAAGAGTAAGTTTACACGAAGCGCTGGACGAGTCCATTTGCGTTTATCTTGGTCAAACTGTGCGCTAGGAAAGCACCCAAAGGATGAAGTGTGTTAAACAAGCGCAGGATTGCGATTATTCGGCGCCGTCTATGTCTGACTGTATTGTTTATGTGCCGCCGTGCCGTGCAGCTTGACGAAGATCAGCGTTCAAATAAGCATCTGACTTCGACTAAGAAATGCATCTTATAGCGTGCTAAAAGCTAGAAAAAAATATCTCAACGCGTTCAATAAGTCTTGCGCTTCATGCCGATCGAATGACGATGTTGGCCGAAGCAGGAATCCCGAAATGAACTCTTAGCGCACTGCTACAGTCATCCCCATCCCCTGAGGTCTTTAAAATGGTGACTTTTTATCTGCAGTAGCTTATCATACAAGGAAAACTGTTTTGTGTATCGACTGATCTGCTAGCCAAACTGACAGCACCCCCGAGCAGCATAAAAGCATTGCAGATGATTTTAGCGCGACAAAAAGTTTCCGGACCTTTCATAGCTTTCGCAGCTTGTCATTGTCCCAGTCACGATTGAAAAAAAAAAAAAAAAGAAAGCACTGACATTGCACGGCGAGGTGCTTTTTTCAACGGAGCGGTACAAAAAAGCGCACGTGCCACTGTTGACTCGTGCGGTGTGTCGAACCGGTAGCCGTCGTATCCCACAGTTCACTGCGATTGCCCATTTTACCGGTCACCTATTGAGCCATGCTATGTTATGTTTGCATTTTTTCTATATCAATGCTGTACTGACCAGTGAATACTTACTTCAAACAAAGTATTTTTTAAGAAAAAAAAATATTTTAACACCTCTCATAACTCTCAGAGGAAAAAAAACACTAATTTCACAAAATCGTCCCTTTTGTCAAATTTGCGGCGCAATTTGCACCACATGACGGTCCAAATAAAAATCACCTTTATACCTAAATCGAAAGCGCATAAACAGCTTTCTGTATATGGCAAGCTTTATTGTCACAGTTTTTGTTTGAATAAAGAATATATTACGTGAAATTTGCCGTTTACGCTAATGGAGAATTTCAAGACGGCACCTGTCGTGTGACCAAATGGGAAACTTCAAAAGTTATTATCTTGCTCAAAACAAAATTGTAGTGATAAAATTTGCCATATAAAAATAACTGTTTATTTGCTCTCGAATTAGCTATAAAGGTTGTTTTTAATTGGACCACCACAACGCGCAAATTGCATCTCAGAATGAACAAAGGTGACAATTTTGCGAAATTTGTTGATTTTTTTTGAGAAAGTTTAACAGTTTGAGAGGTGTAAAATATTTTTTCTTCAAAATATACCTTCTGTGAAGTACGTATTAACTGCTCATGTATTCATCAAAAAGGCAGTATTGCAACAAAATGCCAAAATAACGTCTTTTAGTTAAACTCTAGGAGCCTGGCGAAAAATTGCTCTATTATAACTCAGATTCAAATACCTTAGACAAGCACTTTTACCTAACATGTTTAGTAATTTTGGTATACAGATAAGGAGTGGTACTTTAAAATAAAACTTTTCCCAAACACCCAGACAACTTTCTCGGTAGTTCAGAAGGCAGCCTCGTGACCAATTTTTTTTTTTCAGGAATATTTTAGCAGTTCACTGTTTTCAATGCAGTAAATCCGCACGATTTTTTTTCGAATACATTTGAGATGGTCACCAAATCGGTCGAGACGTTTACCATAGAATGACCTAGATGTGACTTTATGGCACAGCATAGTAGCAGAACATTCGCAACAGATACATCTCGTATATCGATCAATCAAGAGTTCATCCTGAAGTCAGGTGAACTGGCGTCACGAATCGTGCCGCAAAAACTGGAAATATCGGGAGTGGATAACGCTCCTATTCTTATTTTCGTGAATGGTTTAGGGGCCTTTTAAAAAGCACAACCTACAGGCCCCTATAGGTAAGTTTATTCGGGGAATGTAGCTAACTGTACGGTATTTGGTGTTACATGGATGGTGATCTGTTATCTCGTCCTTACGAGTCGCAATCGTTGGACGTCGCCATGGATACGCAGACCTTGTACTCACCAATTCGATACGCAGTTTCCCGTAGTGAGCACCCACTTTTCGGTAACTAGCGTTCCATCACAGACGTGCTTGCCGAATCTTAGCAGCATCACGTGCCATGGCCAGTCACCGCGCCGAGCAGGGCCAGCTGCGCCTGGCACCGCCGATGACTGACCGCAACCTGAAAGAGGCAGGCATCACGGTGGAATAGCCTTTGGTTTACACGTTTGAAGAAAAAGTCATACAATATTTCCAAAAAAAAAAACACCCCGACACTTTCGGCGTTTTTATATGGTTGCCGCCATGCTCAGTATTTGAAGTCCCAATCAATAATATCGGATTGTACGAGCTTGAGAGAGGAACATGCCTGAAGAACGAGCCGCCACAGACAACGCATACTATCAAGCCGGCATGCCATCAATTGCTGCTCAAGCAGACAAGAAGCGCTGGTACATGGACACCACAAGGGCTCATGCAGCAAGTGTGAATTTTGATCTTAACCCTTTCAGAAGCCGCCGACAAAAAACTGTCACTAAAGCCGTGACATTGTCACAGCATAATTTTAGGACTCTCAGTACTGTATTGCATCAATAAAAATTTTATAATAGATTAATCTGGGCGTTTTATAGCGGTTCATCAACGTAAAACTTTAATTAAATATATGCCTGTCCTAGCAGAAAGGTAGGTCTTAAAATTAATCTGCAGAAAATGAAGTAATGTAGTACAACCTCGGAAGAGAACAGTGCTTCGAGATAGGTATAATAGTGCACCTGAAGTTGTAAAAGACTGTCTGCTTAGGACAGGTAATAACCGCGGAGCCAAACCACGAGACTGAAGTAACTAGACGAATAAGAATGGGGTGGAGCACATTTGGCAAGCACTCTCAAATCATGACTGCTAGATTGCCACTATCCCTCAAGAGAAAGGTATAAAACAGCTGCATCTTGCCGGTACTTAGCTACGGAGCAGAAACCTGGACACTTGCAAAGAGGGTTCAGCTTAAATTGAGGACGACGCAGCGAGGAATGGAAAGGAAAATGGTAGGTGTAACCTTAAGAGACAAGATGAGAGCAGAATGGATTAGGGAACCAACTTGGGTTAAGGATATATAGTTGAAATCAAGAAGAGGAAATGGACATGGACCAGGCATGTAGCGCGCAGGCAGGATAACCGCTGGTCATTACGGGTAACTGGCTGGATTCCCAGAGAAGGCAAGCGGGTTAGGGGGAGACAGAAAGTTAGGTGGGCAGATGAGATTAAGAAGCTTGCGGGTAATAAAGTGGCAGCAAGCACAGGACCACATTGACTGGCAGTTCATAGGAGAGGCCTTTGTCCTGCAGTGTACGTAGTCAGGCTGATGATGATGATGATCGACCATACTGGGATGCGTTTCGTTCTACTTCACGTATCATGCGGGAACTGGAACACCTTTGGAGTTCTTTTTAGCGTCATCGTGAGGTATAGAGCCGTGATAACGGCCACAGGCATCTAAGTCAAACCTAATGGTTGGATCCACGGTTTTACGTTTTGTGCTATTTTGCGATCTGGTTGCTCTTTCATTCGAGATTTCAGGAGAGTGTCATGTAACTAGCGCTACGTGTAGCTACGTTTGCGTGCGCCGGGCTTTTTTTTTCGAGCGTACGCACGTATCCGTAGTAGATACATTACGTACTGCGCATGTGCACTTCCCTCTCACAGCCCTGCTGCGTACGCAGACTCGTTACGTACACCAAAATAAAACTGTAGATTGCCTCTTCATCACCATTATTCTTCTCCACCACAGTGGATCAGTGGCTCGGGGGCTCGAGCTGCTGATCCGAAGGGCGCGGGTTCAATCCTGGCCCCGGCGGTCGAAATCCAATGGAAGGGTACAGGCCGGTGTCAGCACGCGTTCACCAGAGGGTGAAAATTTCTGGAGCCCTCTATTACAGTATCTCTCATAATGATATCGTGGTTTTAGAACGCAAAGCCACAGACATAACTAATACTGCTGTCATTAAAAGCCTTCTATTGCATGTGCGCTGCTCTGCCGCTCGTGGTGCACCATTGTTACCGCGTCACGTTCAATGAATATAATGGGACCAAGCCAGGATGGTCACCGATTTGAAAATATTCAATGCACACAAAAAATGCTGGCAGGTATAATTTACAGACCGGTCTGGAAAATTGGTTGTTCTTTTTGCATTCAATGCATCCAAGTCACACTTTATCAATGCTTCATTCATAACAACAATTTATTTTGCTGTTGCGCAAAATTTGCCGATATGTTGTGTGCACTAAAGATTTCTCGTGAAAGGTCGGCATTTTCAGTGCTCTGGAATGCGATGCAGGATGGCCCGAGCTTCTCGGGCGGACGAGTTTGCTCCGAGATCACTCAGCGGCGGCCATGGCACGAAGACAGTGCGGAGCGCGTGATAGCAGCGTTGATAAGATTGGCTACAGGAACGCGCTTGGCGTTGTAAAAGCATATGTGGGACATTTGCATCATCATCATCATCATCATCATCATCATCATCATCATCATCAGCCTGATTACGTCCACTGCAGGACAAAGGGCTCTCCCATGTTCCGCCAGTTAACTCGGTTCTCTGCTTGCTGCTGCCAATTTATACCCGCAAACTTCTTAATCTCATCTGCCCACCTAACCTTCTGTCTCCCCCTAACGCGCTTCCCTTCTATGGGAATCCAGTCAGTTACCCTTAATGACCAGCGGTTATCCTGTCTACGCGCTACATGCCCTGCCCATGTCCATTTCTTCTTCTTGATTTCAGCTATGACATCCTTAACCCCCGTTTGTTCCCTAATCCACTCTGCTCTCTTCTTGTCTCTTAAGGTTACACCTAACATTTTCCTTTCCATTGCTCGCTGCGTCGTCCTCAATTTAAGCTGAACCCTCTTTGTAAACCTCCAGGTTTCTGCTCTGTAGCTAAGTACCGGCAAGATAGAGCTGTTATATACCTTCCTCTTGAGGGACAATGGCAATCTACCTGTCATAATTTGAGAGTACTTGCCAAATGTGCTCCACCCCATTCTATTCTTCTAGTTACTTCAATCTCGTGGTTCGGCTCTATGGTTATTACCTGCCCTAAGTAGATAAAATTCTAATGTTTTCTTAACTCTGTTAGCAATTACCTTTGTAAATAGCTTGTATACTACGGAGAGTAAGCTGATCGGCCTGTAATTCTTCAAGTCCTTGTCATCTCTTTTCTTATGTATTAGGATAATGTTAGCATTCTTTCAAGACTCTGGTACTCTTCCCGTAAGGATACACCTCGTAAACAGGGTGGCTAGCTTTTCTAACACAATCTGTCCTCCATCTATTAGCAGATCTGATGTTATGGGATCCTCACCAGCAGTTTTGCCTCTTCGCATGCTCTCCAAGACTTTTCTGACTTCTATCATTACTGGTGGGGTGTCATCTAGTTTACTGCTAGTTCTTATAGTATTAAGGTCGTGATTGTTCCAGCTACTGTACAGATCTCTGTCAAACTCCTCCGCTATTTTAACTATTCTATCCATATTGGTAGTTATTTTGCCTTCTTTGTCTCGTAGTGCATATATCCGATTTTTGCCTGTCCCAAGTTTCCTCTGCACTGCTTCGACGCTTTCTCCATTCTTTAGAGCGTGTTCAATTCTCTCCATGTTATACCTTCTTACATCGGATACCTTACGTTTAATAATCAACTTCGAAAGCTCTGACAGTTTCATTTTGTCTGTTGTACTTGAGGCTTTCATGCTTTGACGCTTCTTAATAGGATTCTTCGTTTCCTGGGAAACCTTGCTAGTGTCCTGTCTAACTACCCTGCCTTCAACTTCCACTGCACACTCCGTAATGATGCTCGTCAGATTATCATTCATTGTATCTACGCTAAGGTTGGTTTCCTTACTAAGAGCGGAGTACCTCTTCTGAAGCGAGGCTCTAATTTCTGTACTTTCCCTCTCAGTGCTAGCTCATGTATTAACTTCTTGCGTATCAGTTTGTGTCGTTACATCTTCAAGTCTAAGCGAATCCGATATCGTACCATTCTATGGTCACTGCATCGTACCTTGCCAACCACTTCCACATCCTGCACGATGGCTGGGTGTGCACTCATTATAAAGTTTATTTCGTTTTTATTTTCGCCATTAGGGCTCCTCCATGTCCACTTGGCAAAGTTTAACGCTAGAACCTTATCTAGTGAGGCAAGTCTAGCTGTACTATTCGAGGAGCTAGAGGGTGTTAAATGTGATTTAATAGGGCTCAGTGAGGTTAGGAAGATAGATTAGGCCTATACGGTGCTACAGAATGGGCACGTTCTTTGCTATTGAGGCTTGGCTGACAGAGGAGAACTGGGAGTGGGGTTTCTAATTGACAGGAACATATCTGGTAACATAGAGGAATACTCTAACAATAATGAAAGGGTGGTAGGTATCATAATTAAACTCAACAGGAGATACAAGATGAAGGTGTTACAGGCATACGCGCCTACATCAAGCCATGATGACGATTCAGTTGAAAGTTTCTATGAAGACGTGGAATCGGCAACGAGTGAGGTAAAAGCGCATTATCTACAGATACCGCAGCAGTTTAGTAAATTAATCATGAATGTTGTCATCGCAATTATGATGTACCAAGCGTCAACGAAGACACACCCACGTTGAACGAGGATATATAGCTGCCAAGCACCATAACTTAAATCCGGCAAACTATCCTTTATCAATGTACAGTAACCATTTAATTGTCCCTGTATATACGCGTTTTACTTTCGTGTTATATGCTGATTCCTGGGACGTAGAGAGCAACCATGTTTTTTTATGGAATGATTGCTGTTATATTTTTCATAAGTATTACGCTTTCTTGTATATATTGAGGCATTTATTTATTATAATTTGTCTTATTTAGTAATAGCTTGAATACTGTATCTAGAACGTGCGATTATTAATAATATTGCTATTTTATATGATACTATTATCTTATAATCAACTTCTCAACCCTTTTCTTTAAAAACATATAATTTGTGGTGTCAGTGGCGTAGTACTATGTTTACATTCCTTGTATTTGTATCAAAATTTCTTATTAGGCTCCCAAGGGCCTGCATGAATACACCAATACAAACGGTGTAAACAAAATTTCTCTTTGAAAGAACAAAACATGATCGATTATAACGTTAAACTATTTCTTGTTGCTTCCTTTCGAAATGATCGTTATCTGTATACTGAATCGATTTGAGTTTATTGCGCAAAAAGGTTGCAAGGAGCTAAGGGCAAAAAAGTTGCACTTAGCAGCTAGAGCGGAACTTTGAGGGACTATTAGTGTAAACACTCTTTGTCACGCACACAGCCGCAGCTTGTTACGCAGGCAAAAAGACCTATCGCGTAACTACCACTTCTGCAGGACCACGCCAAAAATAAGAGAATGATCCATTTTCGATACGGCATATTGTTTCCCATTAGTTCTTCGGCATTTAAAACTTTCTGCGTGCCTAAAAATCACCTCCTTGTTATATGACGTCACGAAGTCGGAGAGCATCACCTAATTTTTTCTTCAAGTGGGCTAGCTGCCTATCACATAAGCAGCGGCTATATATAGGAGCTGGCGAGATGGATTATAACTTTAATAAAATATTTCCACATGCAGCGTAATGCTGTTTAGTAGTTCATGCGCGTATACATCTCTGTTAGCTCACACTTGCTGAGAGAAAGAGAAATAGGAAGAAGTAATCAGCGCTGCACCTATGTGCTTCTTTGCTGACCGAGATGTATTTTGAGCCGTAAAGGACAATGCAAGTTGAGTGAAAAACAACTAGCCTGATTGCCAACTAAGCCTCCATAGTGCTAAAAACCACGGTATTGAACCTTCGTCCTAGTCAACTGGGTCAAGTTGTGGGGCAAGTTTAAAAGGTGAGCTTCCTACAAAACTCGAGTCCACTAATTTATTCGTAGCCACTTTGCAAGCTGCCGCTATGGCTCCAAGTTAACATAACCAAGGCTGATAAGGTTTATCATAGACTTAAGCGGAAAGAATGTTTGGCCTTTCAGTGCAGGAAAACTTAAAAACATCAAAAACGATTCGTCACACTCATCGGCTCCCAACAGCTTCGACAGAGCCGCAATAATGGTATATCCTTTTCGAAGAAAATTATTTTCCGGAAGCTGAAAATGCTTTGACTGGGTCATAAACAGTTTTGTCGTTCCCAACGGTAACTGCATCAACAAGTCACAACAAATAAAAGCATGAGCAAGTTATGTAATATTATAGGGCCCCTGTTCAGTACTTGCTTGCTCTGCAATACTACAGCAGAAGACGCGAAAGCGTCGCACAGGCGACCCGCACCGCCAAGAGTCTACAAGGAAAATCATCACAGCGGAAATGTCAGAGAAATTTCGCTCTGTTGTAACATTGCCATTCTCCCGTAAGAACAAAATTGAATGACTACTGTTGGGCCGGAAAATTTCACCTTACCTGTTAGCTTCCCCAGCGTGCAGCCAAGAGTGACCACGGTGCACTGTCAAAAGTGGGGGTGGGGGGTGGGGGCTCATCCCCGCCAACATTTCTCAGTAGGTGGGAGGGGGGGACAGCGGCTCTCTTAACCCCCGTCTTATACACCTAAGTGTGACAGCATCTTGAGCGTAAGGAGTGGATGACGGTTGATCAAGGGGTCGAAAGGGAGTAAGGAATGATGGCCGAACGGTAGATACAAGGGTGAGTAGCCGGCTGTTTCATCACGCGAGGAATTGTAGGCGAAGGTGACGAATGGCAGAGCAATTTCCAAATCAGTGTAGCCGCTAGATGTGCACATAGAAAGCATGTCTGTCAGTGTGCGGTGGAGGCGCTCCGTAAGACCGTTAATTTGAGGGAGGCGAAGTTCTTACAGGCTGCACAACATTGAAGTAGATCATCAACCACACGTGACAGAAAGCAGCAACCCCGATCTGTGAGCCGGTGGGAAGTGCTATGCTGGAGAACGATGTCGTTGAGCAGAAAGCCAGCATTATGAGTTGCGCAGCTGGCCGGTAGCGCTTGTGTGATTGCCTACCGAGTGGCATAATAAGTGGCCACTGAAACAGATTCATTTCCATTTGTCAAAGTAGATAAAACAAGTTCAACTCATGTCAATAAAAGCTGGAACTTCACTAGGAGACCAGCAGGGGTAGCCATACGTTTTTTTTTCTGCGCCGGCACAAGTAACAATCTGCAACGTCACGGTGAACTGAACCCTTCCTGAATACTCGTCGTCAAACAGGGTCGTAAGTTGGAGTAAAAACTACCCAGTCATCACACAACACCTATTGACCATGTGGATTAACGCTTCCCGCCCACTGAAATATAGTTAGCCATAATTCTTCATCAGCCACACGGTGCACCAACATAGTGCACATACTTGCCTTGTGTAGCGGGTACCTCACTTATCCGGAAGTAAATACTTGACTGGTGTTGTGTTACTTGACAGAAGTTGTGATTTACGGTGGAGTCCATACATTGCGGAAAGTCAAAACACACTTTGCCTTGCCCGAACACGAAGCTGATCTCTGAATTCGCATTAGACAACATCACCATCGCCAGGAAAGTTTTTCGAACAAGCCTAATTTCGTGCATCATAGACGTACCTGGCAAGCTGCACTGCAAGTACACCACCAGGTCACTGCTGCAAGGCCCCGGCGAAGAGAACCTGCGCGCGATGATAATTGTCACCAATTGTGGCTTTTCGTTGCTTGATAGTAAATTATTGGCCATTTTCACGCACGCACGCACGCACGCACGCACACGCACACACACACACACACACACACACACACACACACACACACACACACACACACACACACACACACACACACACACACACACACACACACACACACACACACACGCACACACACACACACACATACACACACACACACACACACACATACTTAGCACCAAAGACACAGTGGGCCTCAAAAACCGGGTCCACTGGGTGCCAGCCCAGTATTCCACTACTGAGCTGCGCTTATGCTTGTGACTTGTTCGTAAACTTGCCTTAGGCAGGCTTGATGTCGGAAAAGCAATCGCGTTAATATGACTTACAAAGCGTTTAAAAACAGCGAAATGACAACCAGTCATCCCATAATGCGATTAGCGTAACAAGTGGGCCGTCCGATGCTCCAACCCATTAAAAAAGCTTGTTGTTGTTCCCTTATTAACTGTGGCGCATACCAACTTCAGCCATAGTTCCTCATCGTCGTCAGCCAGTGAAAGAAATATTGGCACGAAATTATTTGCAAGTGTTTAGCGAATAGCACGCTTCTCGGAAGAATGACAAAAAACAGCACAACAAATGCCGGCCTACTACCCAAAAGTTTATTACTGCTCTAGTTGGTACCAAGCAAGTGTGCTTGCAGCAGTTACCCAATGAGTGTTTTGAAAAGGCTCCGAAAGACCGCTCTTCTAGCTTTCGCTGACTACGCTGCGCCTTCATGGCAAGATGATGCTGATGATGATCCTTGTAATACTGGCGCACACCCACAAAGAGAGATCGGCCAAGAAAAGAACCAGGGAAAAGGATCTTTAAGTTAAAGCTTATGGTTTTACAAACACAAAATAACTTCTTCCGGGCAGGCCTGACGTTTTTTTCTTTCTTCAAAATGAACACAGCCAAAAACGGATCGCACGGGCGTTTAGGGCCTAATATGAGCTTCTTTTCTTTAAAAAAATGAACTTGACCAGCGACAGAATAATTGAATATTGAAATCCGAATCTACGCTGCCTTCTACATGGGAACCGTTTTGAGGTGATTGGCTGCTGCGCTATATATGGTCAGCGCAATCGTAGCGGCTTCATACCATCTTGATTTATTAATCTACACGCGAGTGTTTTTCGTGCAAAATCAAAATTCATACTAAAGAGAATTTTTTGTCGCATTAATCTGTAACTCTGCCACAATACTTGTTCTATTACTCGGGTAAATGCATCGCCGGTATAATAACCTAGGGGTTGCTATGTTGCATTAGGCTATGCGTTGTTTTTGGTGTACTCAAGAAAATGTAATTCACGTTTCCCTTTTTTCTCTGTCCTTTTTAATATGCACGCGCTAGAAGGATCTTATAATGCTTCGTCATGTTATTTTTTGTTGTTTTCTTGATTTTTTCATTTTTCTCTTTTTACGTCACAAAAATTCTGATTGTGTACCATTATTGTATTGTTGCTACTGAATGATCGAATGTCAGGCGAGGTGACGTTACTTGTATTAGTATAAGATTTACTTTGTCTTGCAGTGCCGTACAAACACGTCTTTATTTTGAAGTGTCTGCGTCTATGTGGTTTTATATATATATATATATATATATATATATATATATATATATATATATATATATATATATATATATATATATATATATATATATAAAATAAGGCAGAGAAGTGTATACCTAAGGGCTCGTATTTTAACACAATATTAATGAGATATAACAGACAGTAATGCCAAGGAATGTACAGGGGAAGTTATTAGAACCAATGGAATGTAAATAAGAAGAAAAAAGAAAGAAAAGTGGATGAAAAATTACCAGCTGTGAGCAGGAATCGAACCTACGACCTTAGAATAACGCGTTCGATGATCTATCTATCTATATATATATATATATATATATATATATATATATATATATATATATATATATATATATATATATATATATATATATATATATATATATTAGGTCGTCAAGCCCAACGAGGTCTTGCAGGACAACTCTGTACCTCTCTTTATCAAGATGCGATAAATATATGCGATTGAATATTAATTAGCAAAGCTCACAACAACGTAATTGTTAATATTTTTTTCTGTTTATGTAATAACGATCGCCTAAAAACGATGTTGTGTGCAATTCAAACAGTTACAGACACCGCATCGAAATTCGCGCCTGAACTATATATATATATATATATATATATATATATATATATATATATATATATATATATATATATATATATATATATATACACTACTACAGAGCCTGCACACAGACGACGACGATGATGATGACACAGAGTGACCGTGAGGAGAAAGAGACAAGCGGATGATAGTGAGTATGATCATGCAGGGATGAGGACGATGTAAATCGGAAACGCCCACACTAACTGCCCCCATTTGGAAGAGGACACCCTGGCCGCCGTAAGTCAAAGCCATGAGGGACTTGAAAGGTTTCGTGCGAAAAACGTGAACAATCTCGGTGGTGCGGCTAGTCTGCTGGGGTGACAGGTGGTGTCACACGATAATTGACCGGCGAAGTCTGTTGCAAAACTATGCGTGGCCCGATGAAGCGTGGTTGTAATTTGAAATGCGTTTGGAATTTGTCACAGAGGCCAGGAGTGCCTGTAGATGTCAAAAGCAGCACGTCGTCACCAGGCCGAAAAGACAACGCAATAGTATGCGTCATAAATGATATTCCACTCGTGCTTTCTCACTTCAGTATTGATGCGAGCTGGCTGGCTAGACTGGGCCAAGTGGGAAATGTATTCTTGATTGATTTGTGGTTTTTAACGTCCCAAAACCACTATATGATTATGAGAGACACCATCTTGCAGGGCTCCGGAAATTTCGACCACCTGGGGTTCTTTAACGTGCACCGAAATTTGAGCACACGGGCCTACAGCATTTTCGCCAAATGTATTCTTCGCTAGAAGATTGACGGGAATTAACATGGCTGTTAATGAAGGAGACATCGAGAAAGGTAGTAGGGGGACGCCCGTACATGAGGTAAAACGGTGAGTAGCCAGTTGTTCACTGAACGGTGGTGTTGAAGGCGAAGATCAAGAATGGTAGAAGAGTATCCCATTTCTTGTGGTCGGGTTGAACATAAAGGGAAGTGGGTTAGGGGGAGACAGAAGGTTAGGTGGGCAGAGGAGATTAAGAAGTTTGCGGGTATAAATTGGCAGCAGTAAGCACAGGACCAGGTTAACTGGCGGAACATGGGAAAGGCCTTTGTCCTGCAGTGGACGTGGTCAGGCTGATGATGATGATGATGGTGATGAACATAAACAGTTATGTCAGCAAGGGTTCGGTTAAATCTTTCGGTGACACCATTGGTCTGAGGGTGGTAGCTTGAAGCGGTCTTATGAGTAGTTCCAGAAGCACGCAGTACTTCATTTAAAATTTTTGACAGGAACACTTTGCCAAGGTCACTAAGCAGTACGCAGGAGCCCCATAGCGCAAGACTATGGAGTGAATAATAAAGTCTGAAAATTCCGCAGCTGAGCCAGTAATGACAGAGGACGTGTCAGGTGGTCCACGGCGGTCACTATCCATTGTAAAGGTCGACACATACAACATCGAATGGCATTGAAGGGCATGTAATTGGCTGTAGAGGTCCAGCAGGTGCAAATGTCGGGAGTTTACGACGCTGGCATTGGGAGCAGGAACCGACGTACCGCACTACGATAGAAGAAAGGCCAGGCCAGTAATAACGACACCGAATGCGGTCAAAAGTTTTTTCGAAGGCCAAGATGGCCAGAGGTCAAGTCATCCTGGAAAGCTTCGAGTACCTGATGTCAAAGACAGCGTGGCAGCGCAGTAACCCAGCGCTCACCGTCAGGATGGTAAATGTGGCGGTAGAGAACCTCATCGCCCAGTTTAAGTGCAGGAGTTGACGACGAAGTTGCACGTTAGGTGGATGAGAACCTCCCAAAAAGTGGTCCATAATGCGCCTGCAGTATGGTTCAGACTGCTGGCGGGAGCTAAATGTTCGCTCGTCACCCAAAAAGGGTTGCCCTATTGAGGCGAGTGTATGAACTGCGGTAGATGTGGCGGTCGAGCTCTCGCCAACGCTGATATGGCGAGTAAGAAGCGGGAACGAGATGAAGCGTCGGCGTCCTGATGTTTTCTACCAGAATTGTAAATTATGTCAAAGTGGTACTTCTGTAAGCATAGTATCTACAGATCCAAGCGTCCGGACAGATACTTTAGTGTAGAAAGCCAGCATAGGGCGTGGTTTCTTCGCCATCTTTCAGCAGTTCCGCAATTTTTTCGCCATCTTTCAGCAGTTCCGTTGTTACCTTATCTTCACCAGTGGTTTTGCCTCTTTGCATTCCTTCTACGTCATTGATTACTTCCCCTGTCACTTGTGGTAGGATGTCGGTTTCTTCTAGGCTATTACGCTCCGTACAGTATCATCCTGTTTTTTTTTCGCCTTCTGTACAGCTCTCTGTAGAACTCCTCCGCAACCTCAACTATTCTATCTATATTAGTTATATGACACTGTCTTCCTTGTATTCTATTGCATACATCAAATTATGCCTACGCACAAACTTGCCTTCGCAGTTTTTAAGATTCTGCCGCTTTTACAGCAAAAGCTGTTGTGACATCACAACACGGGTTGCGTGCCCCGTAGTTGTGCTTCGCCGCCACCGGTGTCTGTAATGACTATCGTGCAAAGCGAGAAAAACTAAGTAAATGTAAAAACACCTTGGACACAATGAGTTTCCAATGCAGGTTATCCTGCGTGCCAGGCCAGTATACTACCACTAAGCTGCACCCGTGCTTGGAACTACTTCTGGCAATCTGACCCTAAGCAAGCTTCAAGTTAGGAAAGAAATCTCATTACTGTGTGTAATAAAGCGTTTAGAACAACAAACGAACAGCCAAGCGTCACACACTGCCATTTGTGTAACGTTGGGTTGTCAAAT